ACCCCCCCCCCCCCCCCCCACTAACTTCGTTCGACCGTCTTACTCGTTACACATTACACCCATACATTTACGAACTTAATTCGTTCTGTGAAAAATGTTTGTAAGGTGAAAAAAGGCACATTGAAAATAAAATACCCATTAATTTCAAAATAAAAAAACTCTGATTGGTTCCCGATTCCAAGAGCAATTACCCAATATTTTTCTGGGTTGTAGTGCCGTGAAAACCCCAAATCCTATATTTTTCTCACATGTTACAATAATATACAATCATACAAATTAAATCAGCGGTAATTCATTATAATAGTTACTACCTATTTAACCTTAAAGCTCTACCGAAGTGTTAAATCAAACGTTTATGTTTTACACCAGTTACTGCCGTCACATCATAAACATCAGAACTTATGAGAGCTGTGCCCTCGGACTAAGGTTGGTTCATCGTTGTGGAAGAAATAATGTTAGCACGCAGCAAAAATTAATATATCGAAAGAGCATAAATCGAAGGATAGGTGGAAGATGGTTGTGACAGTTAACTCAGACATTCACTAAAACATAATTCATAAAACAGTTCCCGTCACAAAATTTCATGAATCAAGGTCACAGTCTCACCTGGCGTGTATGACGGCAATGCGACGCGAGTCCTCGCTCAGCCAGGACTCGATGTCCTTACAGACACTGCACAGGCGCTCAAGAGGGGGAGCCAAGTCTGAGGGCCACCCTAACTCCCTGACTCGCTCGTGATGGCTCCGAGTCACTCGTCGGGGTTCCGACAAGTTGAACACCTGAACGTACAGAGAAAAACATCTAAAACGACAAATGTATATTACATAACGGCACATGGCTATCTCAATTGGAAGCCAGTGACTACTGCCACAGTTCGTGATAGTATTATTGTTGTTGTTGTATGTTGCTCGTACTCGTTTTATAAAACGCCTACACGAAGCCTACAACACCCTTAACATACATTGACGGAAGACCAATATTCTATATTGCAAGGTATTGAAAACTTTAAATGTGGTAAGGTAATAACATATTTTTATTATGTAATCAAAAAGTTCATCATCGTCACTAAAGACACCAACAATTGATTCACATTTAATTCAATACGTATGATATCGCCATATGATTTTGTTGCGATAAAAGTAAATTTCTCTTTCGTTATAAATTACAGAGTCCCGCTATTTCAAAAGTTTTATATCCACATACATTACGTGTGGAATTTCGACAGGACAACAAAGTCTTCATTTAAAAACTCATTCTGCGTTCAAAATAATAGTGAAAAACACAGGGTACATATTTTTTAACATTTAAAGAGTTAAAATTAATACGAACCACAGTGAACACAGTCCGACATACATGTAAATACATTTCTGGAAATTTAAAGGTTACAAATTCGTAGTGCAATGCATTCTGTACGATCGCTGTACAATGTCAGGCAAATTACTACCTGGGGTTTTCATTAATTTAACATGGAACGAACTTTCCACAAGTCCGGGCAGGCTACCTACAATAACCACGAATATGTATTACAGTTCGTCGTTCACTGACCGCAGAACACATGCGCTGGAGAAGTTGCATATACTGCACGGCGTAAATCTAATAATTTCGTCTCATACATCAGAACACTGACTTCTGTAACGTTACGCCTTAACTATTCCGGAAACTAATAAGTTTGTGTCATATCACAATGCATTTACATCAATGATTATACCCAATTCTACCTCGTGTCTTTTGACCAAAGATTGTTTTTCGTTAAACAAAACACACATGTATGGGAACCGACACATGATAGGGTCCAGTTACATCTTTTTCCTAGTTGAATTATGACGTGTTGGGTAAGGGTAATATTTATATTTGAGCTTGTTCATTGTCTGGATCTGACGTATGCTTCAAAGCAAGACACTCACCATGTAGTTATTGCCGTGCTTGGTGTGCAGCATGTGGGCCGCCTTCTGCTGCCCCTGACGGTACGACACGGGGCTCACGTCTCCCGGCACCCAAAGCGCGATGATCCGCTCTGTTACGTAACTTAGATCCATTGCCTCGCCCCGGTGACGAGGCGACCTGCCCGCCACGACACCACTCGAACCCCGGGGCTGTGACGTCAGAGCTGTCGGCTGCAAAAGGAACAGACACGCATCCTTTAGCCTTCGTGTGAGCTTGAGCAAAGTAAAGGGGGTGGGAAGATGGAGACGGCAGGGAGAGAAATAAGCTGGCTGGCTGGCTTATTTGGAACTGTGAAGAAAACTCGGAGATATCTTGCGACAAGTACACCGGCAACAGGACGGGCCGCTACAGTGAGCAGAGTGCCACGTCGCCTGATCTCGCGGTGTAATGGTTAACGCTCAACCCCGTGTTCCAGACGCTGGCGCGTCAGAGGTTAGATTCGGGTAGGTTGAGTTAGGTTACTCTGCGAAAAAGAAACGATGACAACTGACCACGTCGGTCAAAGTCCAGACCTTCAACGCGAATTATACGAGTTTAATTTAAAATGTTTGCCAAACAGATCAAAGGAGTCCAAAGATACTAAGAATAATACACGTTTTTCTCACAACTTATTTTTCTCTAAATCAGACTTGAAAGTAAAATTAACAACCTGCCGTATAAAGTTGCTCACCGGTAAAAACCAGTACACATGGCACACATCACGTTTTGTCTCCTAGTACACAACAACAGTTCTTGGGATCACTCACTTAATTGAGACAGGGAGTGGCAAGGGGAGATGCTCACAAACAAGAGAATTCTATTCAATTGTAGTCAGACTTCCATTAGTTCGACCTCCACTGAAGAAGCATAATTATCGCCTGCTGGCGTTGTTCAAGCTGCTTCTAATTCTACTGCAGTCGTCGAGAACAGTAGACACCAGCCTCTGTCTCTAGTTCTGAGCTCTGAGTAAAACGAGAACGGCAAAAAACTTGTCTCGGATGAACTCCGACCTTTTTAAAAGAAAGACGGTATTCCTGACAGGTGTTCCTAGTATGAGATAAATAAAAACAGCGCGAAGTTATTATGTGAATAAAATGTATGACGTCTGTTTAATTTAAGATCCTTATCACGTAATAATGATGGGACTAATTAATTCACTCGAAAATTGCCCATCAAGAATGACAGCAAATTCTAAAGTACTACTTAAAACACCTTTTTATTGAAAAGTGCCAGAAAGCAGCATATAAAAATTACAATTAAGTGACGTTACACACATAATAATAATAATAATAATAATAATAATATTGTGACGTGTTGCCGTGAGAGCAGCATAACAATGTCAATAAACAGTTTAGTTGTCTGTTTATTGACATTGTCGCGTCTGGCATTGTTGTCTGTTTATTAACATTATTGGGTTTGGCATTGTTGTAATCGTTTATAGACATTGTTGTATTTGGCATTGAGTGTTGAGTGTAGAGTTGTTGGAAAGGGAGTGTGGAAAGAACAGAGCTGTGAATCGGGCGTAAGAGAAGTGTGCCGTGAGAGCTGAGAGAATGGAGCCAACGAGAGGTCTGGTGTGGCGCTGAGAAAGGACGGGTCGGCTACGTGTGAGGCACCGGGTACGTGGACCGTGGCTGCCGAGGAGCCAGCGTGTGTCCAGTGGGGTGCTACGGGCCGATGTGTAAGCGAAGAGTGTGAAGAGCGCCGAACTCGAGGGACCAGATAGACTCGGAGGACAGTGTGTGTGTGTGTGTGTGTGTGTGCAGAGAACAGAGACACGAAGTGTGTTGTCGTTGTTGTAGAGAGTTGACTGTATGTGCAGACTCTGTAACTGATTTAATTTGACGTGAATAAATCAGGGTTGTCAATCCAGGTCGCAACGCCGACTCACGTTACAATATATATAACAGAACTTGTCTTTACTTAATTAAATAATACAATACGATTTAATGTTTTAAAATCTCAAATATGATTTGAAATCGAGATTACAATGGCTATGAATTGTATAGAAGTATATGTACATACTACGCCATGCATAAATAATCAACAACGCTTGCAGATATCTCTTAGGCCTTATATTCCCTTGGTATTTTGCTTCCCAGTATTTTCGTGCTATATCATTCGATTATTTAACCAGTTACATAAATTGTACAACGACATAAAGACGGCCATCTTCTGGGATGTTGTGTCGCGGTTGTCTAATAAACGTTTACCGGCGTTTCAGAGGTGTGACACTACACGGCGCAACAACTTAGAAGACAACCATTTCATTACTCGCCGCCGTGAAAATCTTAAGTGTCATTTAATAGCACAAATGTTGCAGCGAATCAATGTTATATGAAATCACCACCACTAAAGTTATAAACAACATATCTGACATCACTACACACCAAGTCTCAGTCACAGTGCTACTTACCATCACCCACCTCCGAGAAAGACACCTTTGCACACCCATTAATCAAAAGATATATTCAGTTGTCTCCGAAGCGAAACAGTCAAATAAAGTACACTTCCAATAGAATAAAACTCCATCTCGATTCAACAGCTGTTAGCACTCCGCAGACAAGAGCATTTTGTCTTGAAATGGAACAAATTTATAAGTGGCCTATCACCAAACGGTGGCTTAAAAAGTAGGAATGAATTAATCTTCGTGTTTGCATCACCGCTTCAGATGGAAAGGCTAGCAGGGTGGACTGATGATCTCATGTATTTATGTAATTTGTGGTCGACGATAACCCAAGGCAGGACAACCTTCAGACTTCATGTCAGTTTTTTTACGGAAAACACGCGCAGAAAGACCTACCAATAGACATGCTATGATAAAATGCATGTCCATGTTTTTAAAACATTACGAACGAATTCTCTGATACTTTTTATACCCCATTCACCTTCGTATTCATAAATTAAAAATAAAGATGTTATCACAGTTACAAGTTTAATCGCACTACAGACGCTGCAATGAATGCATGGTCATTAATTACATCCTACTTTTATAGACCTTGAATTTTCATGAAGACTATTACAGATATAAACCTACTGTTGCAATGCTAACGCGATACAGGCTGATTTCAATTCTATACTACTCTATATTGTATTTATTTAAATATATACCATCAATAAGTTAAAATCTAATATTTTGAAAGACGACTCACTAATGACAAAACTCTTACGTTCGATGTGTTCAATTCGAAGTACAATTTACGTCTGGCCAAAGTTAAATTCGGGCTATGACTTTTCAGTAGATCTGAACAATGCCAAATTTAATTGAAATCCTTCCATTAGTTTTAAAAATTGAAACACGGGTACGGACAAAAAATACCTCCCCAACTGCCTTTATTTTATGCCCTTTGTGTAAAGATGCCTCTTTTTATTTCCATCCCTTATTCTTAGTTTCGACATATAAGGCAGTACAGATTGTACTTGTAACCATATTTTACTCATGAATATCTCTTTTGTGATGTTTTGGTAACTTTTATGGTTTTCTTTTCTTCCAAGTTTACAATTCTGTTTAAAATCATTCTTGGTTATCACACTACACATGAACCATTACGTCGACGTTTTAAATATCCTCTCACATGTTCAATGACGTAGAAAAATGCCCTTTCCTTAAAACGCGAGCAGAAACCGGGACAGGAAGATGACGTCGATTTCCGTCTTGGCCACAGATCGGCAAACAATCATCGCCAACAGCGTGTATGACATTACTTCGGTGAAAGAACTAACCTAGCCCATTCAAACGACTACACCACACTTACCACAGCTAAAATAAAGCAGGATGTACTCAGAACACAGCAAGTTTCAACAATAAAACCACTGGCCACATTTCAGCACGTGGATATGTGAAGAGTAAATGTTACTGTCTATATATCCTGTTTCCTGGGCACGGATAAAGAAGGAAACGGCAATAATTTAGCTCACCCGGCATCATTAACATTTCCGACATGATACAAATACAAAACTGAACATATTTCAACCAAACATTATAAATTAATGCATAGATATACTATAATTCTTCAAAGCTGTTTCAGACATTTCGGAGATGAAAAATGTGCACAGACAGCCAAACACCTGACGACTTGAGTCTTTAACACAGTTTAAGTCCTACGAAAAGTAGCAGCACTAACAAACTAGAGCAAAGCGTTTTCTCACAGTCACAGCATCGACGTTTCGGTAACGCATCCAAATGTTGCGTGCATCTTCCTACTGCATTATGTAAAAAGGCCAGCTCTGTTACAACAGATGTCATTGCTCAATTTGGACCTTTCGTGACGGCAGTATTAAGGAACACTTTTCATAACGCAGGTCCACTTTTGATGTAATGCGATCTATCACGTGACAAATGGGCATGATGAACCATGGGCATGCGATGTATGGCGATAACGTAGGATCTTCCAAGAACGGAACTAGCGCATTATAGCTACAATTCATGCAGCTGGTTAACAGTGCAGACGCAACTAATTTTATGGCAACAAACAGCTGGTACATCACGTGACATTCATTCCAGTTGGCCGACCACGTGTCCTTAAAAGTGTTCCTAGCAGATTTTAAACTTAGTACCCTATGTTTCAAAATGTAGTAAGATAGTAAATTTTGAGACAAAATCATTAACCAACGGCATTATCTTTCTTTCTCTTTTACCTTCTTGTCGAGGTTATTTATTTATTCATTTTGATCTATTTGGACAATGGTAGGACTCCTTGGATGAGTGATCAGCCCGACGCAAGGCCTCTACCTAAACAAACACAGAAAGACGCGGACAATGCCTTGAGTGGGACTCGAACCCACGGTCCCAGCGGCCAGGCGCACGAGGTCCATGCCTCAGACCGCGTGGCCACTGCGGCTGAAAGGGCACTACATGGAAACAAAATGGATCACGTCAAATAAACATCGTCCGTGGTTAAAAGTATATAAATATGGAAATTGTCTTCAGCCGTGGACTTCAATGTCACTCGGGAAATGGAAGAGTATCAGAATTTTAGTCTTGTCTCGTCCTGTATATGGAAACTTGTTAACATAATGACTTTCACATTGCATGCAGGTAGAGACTTTCTGTGCCAGATGTTTAACTATCAACTTTACAAACAACAGCCTGTATTCTGAGTCTCATACATTTTATGCTATTGTTTATGCATCATATCAAAATAGAATTTTATTTACTGTCAAGTCTGACCCATTAAGCAGCAAATTTTGC